GCTGCACAAGAGCGAGGAAACCATAGATGACCAACTCCGCGAATATTTCGCGCTGGAATCTCTCATTATCAATCCGAGAAGACCAGACTCCGACCCAGAGAAGAAAGCTGAAGATATACTAAATAGCAGCACCCGTCAGTTACAAGACGGGCACATAGAAACAGCGCTTCTCTGGAAGAAAAAGGATATCGAGATGCCTGGTAATTATGAAACAGCAATAAAACGGCTCGTTTCCATTGAAAGAAAATTAGATCGAGACGAAGATCTAAAAAGAAAGTATGATGAACAAATGAATTCCCTAGTACAAAAGGGATACGCTGAGATAGCACCGAAAACCAGCACACCGGGAAGAACATGGTACCTACCCCATTTTGACGTCCATAACCCAATGAAGCCAGAGAAGTTTCGAATAGTACACGATGCCGCAGCCAAAACAAAGGGGGTGTCATTGAACGACTTCCTGCTCACGGGTCCAGACCTACTGCAATCACTACCAGGGGTCATGATGCGTTTTCGCCGCCATAAAATCGCTGTCTCCGCGGACATAGCCGAAATGTTCATGCAGGTCAAAGTTAGACCAGAAGACAGAGATGCCTTATCTTTGGAGAGGGGATCGACGTAATGAAGCTCCACAAGAATATAGAATGACGTCGATCATTTTCGGTGCAGCCAGTTCACCCTGCACAGCCATATTCGCAAAGAACTGGAACGCTAAAAAACACATAGACAAGTATCCAGAAGCCGTAGAAGCTATCATTCAAAACCACTATATGGATGACTATCTCGACAGTTTCCAGTCTCTGGAAAAGGCAATGCGAATATCGAAGGAAGTACGCGACATACACAAAAACGCGCACTTCACCTTAAGAAAATGGGTTTCCAACGCACCAGAAGTTGTAAAAGAATTAGAACCTGACCATGAAGCATCTAAGTCAGTCGATCTGGGAAACAAAGGAACCGAGGAAAAGATACTCGGATTAATCTGGAAACCGGGAACCGATCAGCTGAGCTTCAACCTAAAGCTCGCTCGACTTCCAATCAATTTGCTGCATGAAACACCAACCAAGAGAGAACGTCTCATACGGTGCGTGAAGACGGCACTATACACCGTCTTTCATGAGAGACATCCGCATGAGGAAGTATTAGCCACGCTGCTCTGCGAGGTGGAGTACACAGTAAATAGCAGACCATTGACTCACATCTCTGTAGACAGCGACGACGACGAATCCATCACTCCGAATCACTTCCTTTTAGGAGGATCTGCGAGACTACCGACACCTGGAGTATTTAATGAAAAGGATATGAATAGCAAAAGACACTGGCGACGCTCCCAGATACTCGCTGACATGTTCTGGCAGCGTTGGGTCCGAGAGTATTTACCGGAACTTCAAAACCGGCGGGAGGCCCATGGGCGAGGTCCCAATCTCCAGGTGGGCGATCCAGTCCTCATAGCTGACGGCCAGTTACCTCGTAACACCTGGCCACGAGGAAGGGTAGAAGCTGTCTACCCCGGTGCGGACGGACAGATCCGCACTGTGGAAGTACGCACAGCAAACGGCCTAATCAAGAGGTCGACCAGGAAACTCGTGCCGCTGCCGAAGTAGAAGCAACGTCGCTCACCGAAATGGATGCAGCGCCGCTGTGAGAAAATCGTCGCGACGCTGCACGGCGGGAGAGATGTTCGCGACGGCCTAACAACCTTAAGAAACAAAGTGATAAAGAATATTGTTTTATGTATTAATAGTGAAATTACCAAGAAAACTGAGTGAAAACGTGTATTAATATAGTTGTTGAGCATATTTATAAATCTCAATATATTTGTAATGTCGTTTTGATAGCAAGTAATGTAAACAACTTTTATTATATTAAGAAAAATCGACCAATCACAGCGCGTCTTATCGTGGAACTCTCTAGAAGTTTTTAATTAACTGCGTAATAGTTCATACTAAAAATAATGAAAATAATTTTATGTTCTAAAAGAGTTATAAATATGACATTTAATTAGCATATGGCTTATAGATTAAAGAAGTATAGGAATATTTTTTTATAATTAAACGCATTTCGTAGTTATAGAAAAATTAAAGAATTAAAATACCCAAATATTATGAAAATTTGGGACATTTCGTTTAATAACTTTTTACAATGTTAATGTTTTTAGTAACCTTTATGATATACTAATAAAGTACCAGACTACCGATTTAATGATGTATAGCATGTTAGTGTAGCAATTAGTTTGTATAGAGAATATTGCAATTTATGCCATTTGTATAGTGAAATGTTTATGCAATAAAGAGGCAAAACGGAAAATGGCAGCGGTTCACTGTAAAGTATTGCTAAAGTCTACCTTAGGGGCTCGGGACCCAGTACCCGTAGTAGTGTGAAGAACTACCAGTGACTAGTGAAGTGAAGTGAGTGGTATCCGGTGGTAGCTGAAGTGACTAGTAGCAGTATATAGTGAATAGTGAAAGTGTTAGCTAGCCGAAAAAGGTCGTAACTGACATTCGCAGTTACATAGTGAAAGTGTTACCTAGCCTAAAAAGGTCGTAACTGACATTCGCAGTTACACATAGTGAAAGTGTTACCTAGCCTAAAAAGGTCGTAACTGATATTCGCAGTTACATATAGTGAAAGTGTTAGCTAGCCGAAAAAGGTCGTAACTGATATTCGCAGTTACATATAGTGAAAGTGGTAACTGATATTCGCAGTTACACAACGCACAAGTGATAAAATCAACTAGTTTAGTTGATAATAGCTGCTAGTCAGTAGTGTTAGAAAACCAGCTACTACCAATAGATATTTGATACCACCGTACAATTTAAAGAAAGCTTTTGAAATATACAGTGACCAACCAATAGTGAACAACCGTAGTTTAACAACAGTGATCAATAAATAATAGTTATAAAATTTCGCGATTAATCAATAAGTTGAACCGCTGGCCACTACCTTGCTATTTGTATTTGTTAATCGTGCATTTTGATTTTAACTACAGTCCACAATATTTCAGCGGTACCAACAAAGACGGCGGTGAGAGTACCCACCGGAACCTATAGGTGTAGGACTTTTATCTTCGACAACATTTACTCCGAAGAGTTTCGCCCGTCCGGCACAAATACGCCTTACGCGCTTTAGGAAAAAGACGCAATCCTTCGTTACTATAAAGAGCCATTACTACTGCATACTGGAATTTTGTAAGAGTCTGACGAATCTTTGCCGGTTATTTATGCAGTAGGACCAGTTTTTCTAGTTAGAGGTCCGTCTATGTAGCTGCCGCCCTTTTACTTATATTTGCTTTCTATTTCAGTCTGAATCATATCTGGAGTCAGCTAATTGGCTATTATAGGCTGTGAGGAATTTTATCGTAGTCTCCGGATGACAGGGCATCTGTAGCCTTCTTTGCTTAAAGTTGGTTAAAGATGCCAATGGACAGCACTAACTCTTTAATTCTCTATCAAGACTTTTGACTTTTCTACACTCGTAGGATGACAAACTGTTACCACCCGATGATAAGGCGGTAAAGATACTTGGGTCCATAGTAGAGACGAAACATATAGCTGTTTGGCCGGATACCGGATATCGGTGTTTGGCCAGTCCTATCGCCGGATAACCGGATATTCTGCTGAACCTTGTTCGGCACATGTTCTTGCGATGCATTAAACATGCCGTTTGGGGCATCGCAAGAAGCGAAAAGTAAAGTCAGTGCAAACTGTTCGCGACCGTGATCTTACATTTGGTGGGTAGGTATTGCAATAACAATACCTTTTGTCAAAGTTTGCCAAAATCTATCTTTAAGTACCTTGCAGCAGTGTGTACAGCGAAAGACTTTTTTCAGAAGGTGGCCTTGTATATAAAGGCAGACGATAACGCTTGTTACATTTCCATACTGAGAAATTAATATTTATTCACCATAATTTGCCCTTAGCTACATAGTAGTATTATTAGTACTAATTTTGTAAGTTTTAAAATGAAAATTTTGTGATTACTGATTATATTTGTTAAGTGACATAAATGAAGTACTTAACTAAGATATATTGTGTTCTTCTTTTAATCCGGTATCCGGCCGGATAGCTGTTTGCTATCCGGTATCCGGCCGGATATTAATTTTGGGCCGGATAGGCCGAATACCTGATAGTTACTGAGTACCCGTTTCATCTCTAGTCCATAGACACCTACAATTTATCATGGTAAAAATCAAAATGCAGATGCGTTGCGTAGCAAAGAAAGTGCTTTCTAGAGCCTTCTAGAGAGTCACTAATAAAAAAAAGAAAGGACATCATTATGCTGTTGCTGTTACGAGTTTGGTCTTTCTCTGATCGAGTTGACCCATTCGTTTTGCAGTCGAAATACTGCGGCAGTGGCTCTATGACGTTAAACTTATATAGCCAAATACTCAATTATAACCATTTCCCATGAGTTGTAACATTTCGATTGTCTAACGATGTTGTTAAATCTTATAGTGTCACAGTCGCTTTGACTTAAAGTGATAGAAACAACAGTTTAACGGCATCTTTAAATTGAGCAGTGTATGAGTATTTTTGTATTGGACACTTCAATGTTATAAGCGGTATGTTCCGAAATACAACGCAGTGTACTGTCCAATGCAAATGACGTCATCATTTGATACTTTATTGTACTAACGTGCCGCCGCCAAATTGTGTCGGATATCCGGCCATAATAAAACAATTTTTAATTGTGTGTTTGCCGAATGAAGCATGACAGAATTTGTTTCTATTTATTAAAATACATAAAATTGTAGAATAATTGATGGTATATCCATTAGGAGGATATAATGATTTTTGGAGCACAAAATGACAAAAATCGCCAACACTTTTCCAAATGGCGCAAAAGTATGACGTCATATACTGTCCAATGTTTTGGAACGAATCACCAGTATAGCATCGATTCATGACGTCATTTGCATTGGACAGTACACTGCGTTGTATTTCGGAACATACCCCTAATGTCCATTTTAAAATTACTTAGGTTAATTGTGACTTATTTACCTAAAGCGTCTTTCCCTTCCTGAGGAGGCAGCAAGTTGCGCGCCTTCAGCACGACTACAGTAAGGCGTTCAGCTGAAGGGAGGTAGGAAAGAGATAGCAGCAGCTCTTGCAGCTCTTCAGGTGGGCGTCGTTCTCGCGACAGTTCCGCCCAGACTTCAGCACCACCGGCCACCTCCACGCGAAAGAGAGGGACTTTAGCTGATCCCATCACTTCGTTACGGGAGAATCTGGAAGAGAGTCAGCGGTGTATTTTTCATGGAAACAAGAGTGACAAATAATTATTGTTCGTACATAACGTACTAAATGATCAATCCGCTAAAAGCGGGGGAAAGGTCACATTTTCATTCAAGGTGAGGTTCCATATCAAGCATACCTCCTCAAGATCGTATAACCTGGGCGTACAAGGTTTGCTAACAATCAACCCTCCCATTACCGCCGATCGCGTTCCCACCTTATCTGCTCAGTACCTTCTAATATTCTGTGAGTGCCGCTAATATTGTTTTGATCGACGTGTGACGTCACATTGCTATCGGCAAATTTTGCACCTTCTAATTTTGAATCATGCATGTGACGAGCATGAAATAAAAATTAATACAGATAACAATCATTATTTTATTTAAATGTTTTCTTACGTACATTACCTTATTGCGTTTTAGTTTTGAGAAGTGCAAGTTTTCTTTTAACACTAAACAATTAATTAAAGCAAATTATGATCAAAAATTATGTAACATATTATAAATTAATCATCCAAGTTTTCGAATCATCATCATCATTACAGACCCAAACAGCCATCAGCATCACAAGCCCACAGCTGAACATGACTTCTTCCATAGATTGCCGCATGGTACGGTCTTCATTTTCAGTCACATTGCTTTTCATGAATTTTTTGTGTATGTACTTATAATATTCATATTTGCTTCTAAAAATAACGTAACTATAAAGTGTTCTTAATTAACAACAAATGTCTGATAGAAAAGAAAAACGTTCCTATACGTATTTTCCGAACTAGTGGTAAATTAAACATATGAATGACTTTCAATAAGTATTTTTTTTCAATCTATATTAAATAAAAAAGTTTCTATTCTATTCTACATCTTTTGTGTAAAACTATAAATTTAAAAAACCAAATATATAACATACGACTTGATCGTAACTTCTTTAACGCAGTTATCTCAAAAAAAGTAATGTCCTAATTAATGATATTTATTCTATTTAGTTTATGAAAACCCCGGCTTATATTACGTGACTGAATTTGGGTACCTATTTCTTATTAGGTACAATAAATCAAATAACAGCCTGACGGCAGACATTAAGAGGTTAGAGTAAGTCAGCTCAAATTCTAATTTCGCCCCCACTTCCCCCGCGCGTCGTATGCTATGTACCGAAATATTTGTAATCACTAATACTGTGAGTAGAAAGGTTGTTAGACACTTATTTCATTAGGTTTATCATATTTATGCCTGTTTCTTAAAGCCAAGCCAGCCGCTTCTTATTTTTATCACGGTTATTTCCCATTTTAATTTTACGTCGTCCTGTTGCGTAATGTATATTCTGATCGTAAGCGACACAACTTCTTCCTTCAAAAGCCTAAGCGATACTAACGGAACGACGGGAATTAGGGTTGCCGTTCTACAAATTTTAAAGTCCCTAGACTAACAGAAAAAATCCGCCAGAAACAGGATTTTTCTTTTTCTTAAAATCCGCTAGATGTCCCTAGGTACATTTTCGTGGTACCGTTGGTCTAACTAAAAATCTTGCCAAATGATATAAAATGAATACCGAAAATCTAAATCTATACATTCAGAAAACCTTAAAAAGGGCGGACTCTATTTCATATAAATTAATTATATATAGTGTAGGTTAATGACACGACAACCAAAACAAAAAGTATTCATGTACAAAATAAAAAATATTGTAAAAAAATAAATCTCTTTAAACATTAGTCATCTTATTAAAAATAAAACAATTAGCTCAGTACGTTCTTGTACCTAAATTTCAAAATCAATAGCGAAGTATGGATCCAGATCTTCAAAAAGAACTTCAGCGGAAGTTGAAGCTTCGCCAATGTCTCCAGTCCCTCCCATCTTTGGTTTACCTTTACCGACTTGGTTGACAAGATCTTCGTGAATATCGTACGTTGTGCAATTCTTTTTTTAATCCTTAACTGATTTCTAATTAGACGAATGGAATTTAAAGGTTTTTCTGATTGCTTGTTTCACAGTTTGCTTTTAACTACATTCATGGCACCAAATACGCGTTCAAATTCTGCATTTGAGTGCGGTAGTGATAATATTACTATTGAAAAATTACATAAATCTTCGGATATATTTACTCCTGCTGCATTTTTGTATGTCGAAACCTTAGAACATTGTCTCAGGTCGAAACAGAGAAAGTGAATTAACGACATTGAATTGTTGGTTTATGTTCGGGAATTCCCGTGAAATTATATTATATATATATATATATATATATATATATATATATATATATATAGAGTGCACAGATAACCTCCTAATAGATTCCGCATACAGGGCCACAAACGCGCGCAACACATGCTTGCTGTAGCTAGCATACGAAGTAACGCTAAGAATCACGATATCAGTGTATACCAATTATGTGACCCGTAGGCACGTCCGAGTTCTTGAAAATTTAAAATAGTCTTGTATCCAAAATACATTACAAATAGCTTCCTGTGCAGTAAAATCGTGTGGCAAGTCAGCTTAGACATTCAGTTATCAAAAAAATGGCATAACATTTCATCGGTAAGTAAATTCTATTCTTATCACTTTAACCTACTTCAAATGCACTGGAGTTCAACTTACACTGGTAATCTAAAGGTGCAAAGTGATAACAATTAAGCACCCGTTGATGTCTTTTTAAAATGTACCTTTCACTCATTACGTAAACTACAGTAGTTGTCTTTGTCTAACGACAGCACGTGTATCGATAGTGTTGTGATTTATAAGTAGATATTTGTTTGGTCATCATTTACATTTTTTAAAGTCATTATTTTATAAACATTGTGGTGTATCATTGTGATACCTATATGTTATAGGTTTCCTAAATGCCCCGAAAGGAAAAAGATGTGGATCGACGCTACTTGTCGAGGAGACCAAGGTTTCCCACCAAAAACAGTGTGTTATGTTCAAGACACTTCACAGAAGACAATCTTCATATATAAAAACTGTAGAAGGCAGTTGGATTCCGCTATACCATCTCTATACATGCCAGTTTTAGTATGGACTTTTACATTTTTTTAAAGTATAGTACCAATGTAAATTACACAATAAGTGATAGCATTAAGTGGTTGATTGAAACGTGATATTCTAATATTTAGGCGAATGTTACACGTTGAAATTAAACTATTTTTAACGGATTTATAAATCGTAAAACAAGTGAAAGTTATAATGTTATTATTGTTATTCTAGTGTTACATGAACTTCAGTAATATCTTATTATTATTAAGTACATCTAAATTTGAAACACGTAACGTATGGTTTATTAATTAATAATGCTACTTTTAGGTACAGCACTTGGCAAAAATACGGTCACCAACGAGAGGACATACCAGACCACACACAAAGGATTCACACCATTTTGTTAGTGAGTTAAAAGACCCACAACTCGCTGACAATGAAACTATGGTCAGTTTTGGTGTTCAGTCACTATTTACATGCCTACTTACTGAAGACTGCATCTCAATTGTAACTAGGAAACTAGAAAATAACAACATGCCTGCAGAATATGCAGTATTAATCAAACAATGCTTCACACAAAACAAGATTTCAAGATATTGTGAGCTCGTTTTATATAGATCACCTCGACCATGTAGATCCAAAAATCAATAATCAAAAACTGAAGGTAGCCGAGCTAAATATGTCGTTGAGACGTCAAACATCTCAGTTCCCCCCTCCCCCTCATGACCACAAGTTAATTAAACGCGATAAAATCCGTAGTAGTTTTAATCAATGCATAGTTTTATTTTTATTTTTAAATTGTTATCCAAAAGATGTTGCTGCCATATCCTGTATATATATATATGTATATATATATATATATATATATATTGTTTTATGTGTATACATTGTTTTATTTTTTAATTAATTTCAAATTAAAATTGATCAATTTAATTATTTATCAATAATGAATAAATCCCAAATTTATCGATCAACGTCCCAACCCTGTCCCATCACTATGGTTCGGAGCATTCTAAATTCAACCTTGAATTATCCAATCACAGCGCATTTGACACGTCCCCCGCAACTCATGCATGCCGCGGAATTCGGTGAAATCAAAACAGAACAAATATTCCATGATGCGGTATCTATTAGGGGGTAATCTGTGATAGAGTGCTACCAACGGTAGATTACAAAATTGGACATATGATAAATTACTTATTTGAAATGAATTACTTCAAAAAAAAAGTTGCCATCTCAAAAGTCCAAATGTCGCTAGAAGTCGCTAAATAATAATTTCTCTCTAAAACGATTTTTTTATCCGCTAAACATTATTAAAATCCGCTAGATCTAGCGAGAAAGTCGCTAAAACGGCAACACTGACGGGAATCAAGCTCAAGACGCCAATAGTTTAGGTAATTTCTTTTTACAGTGAAAATAATGGTATTTTAAAAAAATTAAATAACATAAGCACTGCTTTATAGTTAGTTCAGTTAGTATGCAAAGTTTCATGATCTTATTTAAAGTATTTTATGAATAACAGCGGTTTATTGTTTATTTTGGAGGTAACTTTGGATTTTTTTTCTATCGAGAAAATTTTACGAAATCGTGTTTTCGTCTAACATAATCACTAACATTAATCCTCAACTTTACCATATATTTATTTCAAAATTAATGCTGCAATATTTTCGGCATAACGAAGGATCTTGCTAAGCCATTTGACATTATATTTCCCCTTAAGCGCTTCATACTCTTCGTTTAATTAATTACAGTTCTATTAAAGTAGTATGTAGAGATACCTCATACCTCATACACATAATCTTTACTGTGGAGGTTGCACCAGTCTACTCGTACACATCATACTTTTATTTTCTCATCATTATTAGGTAGCAAAAGCTATCTTGAAATTGCAATTAACAATAAAATTGTTAATTTTAAGTGCTGATTAACCTTGTGCTTGGAGAAGAAAAGTGCAAGTTTTGGAAATAAAAAAATATTACGAAATCATGTCAAGTCTACTAACACATTGAACACACATTGGAGCAACGCGGTGGACACTTTCTCGTCCTAAAACCCTGTCAGAAATTAGAGGAGGCTTATGCCCAGTGGTAGAACGTATATAGGCTGTAACTTAGCTTAAATTTATCAGGTGTCAACTTCCTTCTTAAGTAAGGAGGTTGTTCAATACATGAACATAAAAAATTTAATTGTAAATTTGTCGTAAAACTGTACCTTTAAAAGGCGATATGATTTGTAAGCTATAACTTAAGTTGTAACTGGCAACATTATGAACCTTGAAAGGAAGTAAGCGATTTCATTCCTTTTTTTCATTATTATTGTACTGATATTTAGAATAAAGAAAATGAGTTGCAAAATGTATTATTGTAAATTCTCGCCTGACCCTAACTACTTATGTTCAATACATGAACATAAAAAATGTAATTGTAAATTTGTCGTAAAACTGTACCTTTAAAAGGCATTATGATTTGTAAGTTATAAAAGTTGTTGCTGGCAACATTATGAACCTTGAAAGGATGTAAGCGATTCCATTCGTTTTTTAGTAGTGATAGTGTGCGCTAACGTCTTTACCTTTATTAAAGACTTTATTTTATCTTGTCTAGCTTTTCATTTTGAACAGAGGTCAGAAAGCAAAACTTTTTGTGATCCCACGCAGTGTTTTATAATTACCAATTTTGTATTTAATTAAACGAAAACTTCATTAAATCTTCTTTAATACCTGTCATAATCGAACACTTGAAGCAGCAGCGTTTTGTCCCCTAGTTCGTCATGAGACACGGGAAATTTGAAGTGTTGGTCGAAAAAGGGGTTCGCTTCATTCCTGTGGACGGGTGTTTGTCGCACGCGGGTGTCCACTTCAGGCAGGAGGCTGACACGTACATACGGGTCGTTGAAACCACCCGCTTCGTAGCCGGCAAGGTCGTGCGCTGTAAATTATTTTATTTATGATATTAAAGGTACAAATTAATAATAGCAGTTCACCTGATCGTTGTGTTGTGTGTAAATGGCTCATATTATACTTTATTACTCCTGAGGACTAAAATGGAACGCGCCATAGTGAGTTCTATTCTGGCTTGCCATACCCGAAAAATTATCAGTCAGTTCAAAATATAATGAACGCACTGTTGCAGAAATAAGGAGATTGGTTTGGACAACAGCACACAGTCCACATAAGCGCGGCAATAGGAGCAACTCCTAGCCAGGTTTAGGCTTAGGGAGTGAAATAGATTGTGCGACAGTTTTTATTAAACGGGATGATTTTGGTAATTTGCATTTGGTATAAATCCTTTTGGATTGAAATAATGAAATACGTAGAATTTTTTAAATTCCGAATATCTTCCCTTATAGTGTGAAGGACGTGTACGCGTGTAAGTTTTACGTGTAAAAATCACTCCAAAATCATATTTACAATTAGATATCTATGATATATTACCTTCAATGAGATGTACTTCCAAGTCGGATCTATCGAAGTCATATTTCAAGCGCAGATGGATCCTACCAAGAGATGGGCCTGCGCCCTCCAGTTCTATGACCAGTGGCGCTTCACGTTTAGTGTAGAGGTCTGGCTGTAGGGCTCCCAACGCACTTATCGTAGCTCCTGCGCTAGGGCTTAGAGGCCCCAAGCCGCTGCTGCTTTCCACCAAAGAATTACTGCGATCTATTCGTCTGGAAAAAATTACTTACGTGTTTGATTTCGGTCGAGATAAATAAATCCATTTTAGTATAAAACATATTTCTGTCTTATATACAAGACAGGCCATACGAGTAATACACAATACAGCTTACATTAAGTGGATGCTACAGCACGTATACACTTAAATATACCCTCGTCTAATAGTGTGCTGTCACCCTGAAGATTTCTCGTTACCAGAAACTCAGATTCGCGTCGCTCGTTCGTATAGAAAAGAAGTAAGTATATAGTATTATGTTGCTATTTTACTTCTGGTGTTCATTGAGAGCGCGGTTTTACCCAGGTTGATCCAACTGATTCGTATTACAATCATGCCAAAGCTGCAGTGTGCCCCATACCACATACAATTGAATATATTATGTATATTTAAAAATAACGCTTAAGTTTTTACTTATGCCATTAATCACTTAAATTCGGTTATAAAAATTACGGACTTGTATTGTAATGATATTATGAGAATATAATTATTATCATTACAGATCGTATCGCACAGCTATTTACTAATAATAGTAAATAATATATCCATCCAGTGTCCATAATTGCTTCGGTATCTTGCTACTATGTCAATATGTGCTTAAAGCAAAGTGTCAAGAGAATAAGGCAACTCGAGCTGTGGAGGGAGCCCTCGAAAATTGAGTTTATTTCAATTTACGAGAAGCGAGGCTGAACACTCCCGCCAGATTGATTCTCACGCGTCCCCACTTTGTTACCTTCAATATTTACACTGCTATGTTACTGTAGAGACGAATAACTCCAATATATTTTGTGTGTCACTTACTAATATAATCGAATATTTTTTTACACGTAATCCCTGTGTGAAACCTTATAATATCGTGATAAATGTCGAAAGTAAAGATTAATATTGAGAAGGTATTGAAAAGTTTTTAAAAAGCTGACTGTATAATAAAAATAAATATTTTATATTTTTTTATATAAGTAAGGGTGACAAAAGAGCACACCTTACACCTGATTGTTAATGGATGCTGTAGCCCATAGAAATTAAGACACCTACATTAAGAACCTCGAAATTCAGACGCTTTGTCACCACTGAAGACTAAGATGGAGCGCGTAGTTAGAAAAAGCATCCGATTCTCTTCACTTACCATTCGGAACCAAGCAGCGTTATACTGCTACTTTATTCCGGTATTCTGCGCAAGCATGAATTTTTTTATAGAATAATGGGTGACAAATAGGCACACAGTTCACCTGATGGTAAGTGGATGCCCATAGAAATCTACATTTATACTCGATTAAGAATCAAAATGCAGTTGCGTTGTCACCCCTGAAGACTAAGATGGAATGCCTCGTTTTCAATAAAAATGGTCACCGGATCTCTACACTCACCATACGAAACACAGCAGTATTAAGCTTCTATTTTACGCTGCTATTCTGTGAGAACGAAGTTCTTCTCCGATCTAACCGACCCATTCGTGCTACAACCATAATGTAGTTGCGGCATGGCTCTACCACGTATACCACATCTTTCTCCCTAGTTAAGTCGACCTACAGGTTTTATTCAGTAATTATAAAGATCTCCGTTGTTTAAAAAGCATAAATACCTCGGTGGCATAAGGAGAGGTGATAAGCATCTTGGAGGCGCGTGCCTCGGGCTGGAAGGAGTAGGGGAGTCAGCGAGCGAGGCCAACGAGCCGTGTGCTAGAGGAGCGGCGCGAACGTCCAAGGAAGCAGCGCGTAGTGGAGATGGTGATCGGGGGATTCCAGTGCCTCCAGCTTCCAGCGTCCGGCCGTCGGGTGCGAATGTACGTATGGCCGGAGATGAACCCCGATGGCTCTGCGGAATTTATGTTTGGTTAATTTAAAAATATTATATGTTATGAAATGAGATTTGAAATAGAGAATCTAGTTAATGTTTTCAGGAGGTTATAACCTTATAAAATGAGCCTATAAAACTAGGGTTGAGGAATGTATTGCCAGAATTTTAAAAGCTTTAATTACACGACAGATTAGCTTGTATAAAATATATACAGTGAATTATGTTCGGCTTTGCATGAGCATCTTCGTATTATTTTATTCTTCCAGTGTAATCTTGGAGTAAATGTTTGTATGTAGGTATAGAAACTTTAAATTAATTCCTTTCCATTTTGAAGACTAAAGCAGTATTTTGTAGAATTTATAATCATAAGAAAAGCTATTCCCACACTAATAACTTTTTGTATATTGGAGGCATTTCACATACATACATTTCTAAAAATTAAAAGTGATGTAATGTTTTAACATGATGTAATAACTACTGACTTCGGTGACTAAGACAAAGTGTAGGGTATTGAAAAATTTAAATAATATATTATAGCGTTTAAGGTTACATGTTTTTAATATCTCCGAAACAATAAAGTGAGGTATGGTATGTATTTATTGCGTGACTGCATCAATGCCAAATTCCAAACATTTACGTGACAGTATGAGAATAACGTTACCAAGGTGACTAATAGAGTTTTATTTTACTAATTTCGCCACGAAACAACAAAATACGACATTAAATACGTGAAGTACTGCACAGAACTTGGGGTAAGGTGTTTATCATGTATGTATATCAGTGGCGTAGCGTGCCTTAGACGGGCCCTGTATCAAGATTTGTTGGGGGCCCCAAATGAAAAGTTCAAAACGGCTCGCATGAATTAAAATAATTATACATATATTGATTATAAGTTAATAATTACTATTAATTCTCCTAGGAACTAAGCTAGCCAAACAATTCTAATCAAAAACTCGTATAAGTGTATTTCTTGTCTTGTTTGTCGAACTTAATAGGTCGGGGAAAAAGTTTTTTCGTATTATATATACACATTTTTTTTCAAAGTTTTATTAAATTTAATTATGACATACATATGTGCCATTTTGTTCAATAACTTGTTGCCATCTTGTAGATACTAAGATGACATAATCCCGTTGCTCTAGAAATTTTGGGATTTTTATCATAGAATGCGAAAAGTCGTTTTGACAGTCCTCTCTTGAAATTAAGTTAACACTACCCAAAGAATTCTGAAGAGACCAAAACAGGTGAAAAACTGAGGGTGCAAGGTCACGACTATAACGTGGATGCATTAACATTTCCCAAGCTCTCTCAAGTTTTGCTGAGTGTCTAAATATCTGAGTGGTCTGGCGTTATCATGATGAAAGACCACCTTTTGTATTGGTAAATTCCAGCCGTTTTTTCTCAATTTCATGCTTGAGTCTTACTAGTTGTTGGTAGTAGAGATCCGAATCGATGTTTTTGTCCAGATGTAAAAGCTCATAATAAACGATGCTCTTCTAATCCCACCATACACACAGCATCACCTAATTGCGTGTTAATCCGGGTTTCGCTAAAGTCTGTGAATTGAACTACCCTTTGACGAAGATCTTTTTCGCACGATCTTGTTGTATGTGATCCACCCCCATCACCAATGATTAATTTTGATTGAAAAGTAATTAAAAAAAAAACGATACCTTAAGTTCCTTTCAGTGAGCTCGTGTGGTAACTGAATATCTATATCTATCTAATGCATTCAAAGTAGTTGTAATTCTTCGTACATTACTTAGGTCCCAGAGGCTCTGAAATCTTTGTTTAGTTTGAGACAAGTAGCAGTAGCAACATTGACTTTGAAGTACGATTCTGGGTATGAAATTTTCTCAGCTTCTGATATTCTTCATAAAAAAAAACACTTCATTATCTTCTTTCTTTTATTTTTGAGAGCGGTTTTCACACCCCACTTTTTTCCTAATCTCTAGACTCGCTCAGCAAACCATGGAAAGAATTTTGATTTCTTATTTCGCTCAGTTTATTCAAAAGATTACTTAGTAAAATGTTAGCTTTCTGTAAGTCATTATTTTCATGCTGTAGAGCTTTAAAAACAGGATTAATGATTTCAAATAGTGAATAAAAAAGGCGACAACAATTTTATCAAAAACATATTACATATTGCCGTTACCGTCACCGTTACAGCCTATTAAAGTCAATGCATTATGTATTGCAAAATTAAAATTAAATTAAATCAAATTAAGCTTCCTCGTTTTAAATAATATTGAGTAATTTATGAATTATGCACTTTGTGCAGGCAATTACCAGCACTAATTTCATTATTGAGTAGACGTAATTTAACATCCTAGAAAAATTCGTCACTTTTAATGTACATTTGCAATCGTATTCTAAATTTCTTTGCTAAAACAGATGTTTTAGTTAAGAACTGGGCGTTTTTGCAAGCATTCCAAAAAAGGTTACTAATCAATGTTTGTCTTCATTTTAAATTATTTTATGCCAAGATTTCAATGAATCTGTAATTCTGTGAGGTACTCCTTTTATTTCTGCTTTGACCTCTACTAAGTATCTTGTTGGGCCAGTTTTTATCGTATTTCTATAAATGACTGTACACAGTATAGGAAATTCTTTTTGTTTTTTAAAACGTTATCGATTTTATTCTGTATCTTGGAGGCAGTTTACAAGCATAAATTGTAAAGGGACAAACATCACATACATAATGATTTGTAAGCCATACAAATTCTTGTTCCATGCGGGATTCAAACCCGGGGCCCTTAGCGCTGTAAATCATTGCTAAGCCACTGCGCCTTAAATTTTGACAGGTCTTTTTTGGGCACGTTGGGCACTATAAGATGATATGATTTTTTTTGCGGGAAGTACGGCCTAAGAGTTAGAGTGAGATTGTGGACAACATTTTACGAATTTTCGCTTACACACGTTCGGGGCCCCTGTAGCCCGGGGCCCCCGTATCATTGATACTGCTAATACGGCGGCAGCTTTTTTTTTTTATAGGATAGGGTGACAAACGAGCACACAGTCCACCTGATGGTAAGTGGTTGCTGTGGCCCATAGACATCTACATCTATCCTCGATTACGAATCAAAATGCAGATGCGTTGTCACCCGTGAGGACTAAGATGGAATGCCTCGTTTCCAGTAAAAAGGGTCTCCGGTTCTCTACACTCACCATATGAAATACAGCAGCATTAAGCTACTATTTCACGCTGGTATTCTGTGAGAGCGTGGTCCTTCCCCGGTCGAGCCGACCCATTCGTGCTACAACTATACTACTAATATAACTGCAGCATGGCTCTACCACGTAAAGCTACGCCCCTGATTTGTATATAAGTACATTTTGTACTGTTTATTTCATAACTTCACTTAAATGGGTGACTGAACTCTTTTTGAGGCAGTTCTAGACCGTTTGTACAGGTCAGGTAACATTGATATCCAAAATTTTCAAAAGGTTTTTTTTTAAAGTCTTTTGGCAGATGATATATATAACTGTTTTTCTCAATAAAATGACGTATAAACATATAATCATTTTTTTAACCGAGTTTATCGATATTGTTTGATGCAGTCACAAAATGTCTTTGAGTACAAATTTTGCGCAAATGTTCAAGGGCAATGCTTAAATGGACTTGTGCAGATTGCCATAATTTGCTTATGATATTAACAAGCGATAATATGTCATACTAACGATACGATAAATTCTTAATGGAGCATTTCATTTAAAACCAAATCACATTCGCTGAGTGTGTCTGATGGTTTCGTTTGATTTTTTAATCTTTTCATGCATTCAACAACATCATCAAATTGAAATAATACGGTCTTCACTACTACGATTCTGCTTTTCTACTATGTGTCTAATAAAGGGTTCATAGTGATCTTTATTTTTTCTTTTATTAATTCCCAGCGTTTGCTAGAACTTGAAGATAGCAAATAAATTTTCTGTGGAATAGAATAATAGCTGCGTCTATCAATAGTAGATTCCAGAAATGGTAACCGCAAGTCTGAAAAATGCCCTCGGTTTAATATTTGATATTCCAGTTTTAACTACACTATTTATGCCTACCATATTTGCGCAATAATTGGCAGAATTCCTAGCATCCGACTAAAGATAAGATATTATTGATATCATTAATCTCTTAATCAAATTGTGCCAATGTTTTTGCGATTCAAGAATTAGCCTTTCGTTTTCTTGGTCCATCGTTTTTTCGTGATTTATTTCCTTTTCTAACGTTATCTCCTCGAACATAAAAGCCATATGTTCTTTGGTATTCTGTTGTATATGTAAAATACTAATTAACTGTTGCCAGTCACAGCATCCGAAAATAGAAAATTTTATTTTCAGAATTTAAGGAAACCAACCAGATTGAGAGAAATAAAAATTAAAAAACTGGCTATGATCGTCATCTTTGGAATAATCTTTATCACTTTTATTTAACGGCTGCTTCAGACAGTTTTGAATTATACCATGAAGTTGAGAATCCGTTATAGGAAACGACCACATTCCTGGATCTGAATTAACAAATGTTTGTTTAAATATATTACTGGTGTCGCTGCTAACTGACGGAGAACATATCTCAATATTCTCTTCGTGATCGTTAATTATATTGCACAACGTTAACTTCGTTGATTGGTTAAAGTTTGAACGTTTCTCTGTTTCCGACAGCCGTACACTATAAGCACGGTAATATTATAGATAAAATTACCGTGCTATAAGTATGCAGTGTGTCTAGACTAGAGTACCTACTTCCCTGTTTCAACGAAGTCTCGGACACGGCTCTATGTTTTTCAGAAGTCAAAGCAATCGATTCAGATGATTCTATAATACCAGATGCAGTTTGACAAACTTCATCATAACTGACCTTGAAATCTGGTTTGCTACAAGCTCAGCTTTTCTTTTTACTTTTGCAGATCCATGTTCCAATTTATCCCGATATCTCTATCTCTCTTGGGACCTAGGCCTGACATGTTAAGACACGTAAGAAGATCGTAGTGTTCATAACACAAACAAAATTACAAGAAGTTGTG